ACACCAGAGCCCAGGCTCTGACCCCCTGGGCTGGAAGGGTTCCCCTCGGGGGGTCACGCATGCTTGGCCATGCCTGGTGGGCTGTGCAGGGCTGTAGTGAAGGTCCACCTGCAGTTGGCTGCAGGCATCCTACCTGGAGCTCAGGCCAGGTTCCTGGCAGGGAGGGAAGCCTGTCGCTGTGGCACAGACAGAGCCTCCAACCCTCCCTGCCAAGTAGGGTTGCCAGGTAAATACAGGGTACCAGTTAGATTTGACTCTCAGACACGCAACCAATAATACTTTAGAGTCTAGAAAATCATTCATTGCTTATCCGAAGTTCAAATTTACCTGGGCATGCTGTGTTTTTGTTTGCTACATCTGGCGACCCCACGGCCAGGAATCATGGAACTTTGCTTGGCTTGACAAGCGATGGTCTGCCCAGGTTCCTTTGTACAAACACACTCACCCCCACTCGCATCCCTCTCCCCATCCCTAGATCCACTGTCCATCTCTTGTCTGGCTACAAGTGAATTAAAATGCAATGGGAGTGGGGCATCCCAGGTCCTTCTGCAGCTGAGACCAGATTAACTGCCTAATTGCAGCCGGGTGGACAGCCAGCTTTCTGAAACAGGGCTCCGTTCTTCCCCACTCCCTTGCACTTTCCTGTTTTCACGCTTGAAATCCCTCCACCGGGCAAATTCTTCCTAGTTCGAACTTGTTGTAAAGGCAACTCTCATTACTTTTATAATCTCTCGTGGATCCCATGACAAGTGTTTCTGCCAAAAAGCTCCTGCCCTCCCCCATTCCTTTCAGCCCAGCATGTAGGGGGGAGGGGAGGTTGAATTCTAGGGTTGTTGTGTGGGTGGCTCTCAAAACCTTCATTGAGGCTTGAAAAGTGGCCTTGGAGATAGAATGAATACAGGGCTGGGGAGGAAGTTTGGAGTTGCCATGGGAACTTCTTGTCTGATGTTTGTGGGCCCAGATAACTGCTCCTGCGCCTGTTGGCTTGGAGAAAAGGGTCAGAAATGAAAGGAAAGGGGGTTTTGGAGTTTTTAATGAAAGCTGTAGCCACCGCCCACCGTAGATGCAGGAAGATTGCCAGCTCCCACTCACCACTGCCTCTCCTGGTCTTCACTGCCCTCCCATTTGCACCTCTTGTTCTCCAGAAAACAAACTTCAGAGGGGCAGGAAGGACATGTGGGAGGGATGTGCTCAGCACTGGGATCCCCTTCAGGCCTCCATGGATTGAATCTGACCCCCAGAATGGGGAGGCCTCAGGGAAAGCCACACCGACCGAGGCAGGAGGCAGCACCTGGGGCTGAGTTCGGCCGGTGCCTGGAGTGACCGGCTGAAAGGTTCATTTTCCCAGAAGGCCCTACTTTCCGACATGGCTGAACCAGATGTGAACCATAACTACAGTTAGTTGGAAAAGGTTGCTCTTTTTCATGTTCCTTCTCTTTATTGCTTTTTTCTGACAGCAAAAGAAATCTCTGCTTACTTGTCTTTTTTAAGCCACAAACACTACAAAAACAGTGACAAACGAGAAGAGCTTGTCATTTTATGCCATGGAATCGTAGTTCTCAAAGTCCCAAATATAAATCCAGACTCCTAGGCTCCTCCCTCATAGGTTCTAATACAGCAATGGCCCAGAATTCCACTTCACCCCTCCTTCTAAGTGACATCGGGCAATGATGTTCGAGATACATTGATCCAGAACTGACCTCCGTTAGTAGGTTAGTTAGAATATCTGCACCCAGGTTGGTTCTCCATGTATATGCAGTTGACCCTTGAGCAAGACAGGTTTGAACAGCACAGGTCCCCTATAGGAAAATTTTTCCAATAAAGACTGTAAATGTATTTTCTCTTCGCTATGATTTTCTTACTAGCACCTTCTTGTCTCTAACCTACTTTATTAGAGTAATAAATCTCTAACCTATTTATTTATCCTCACAGCCCACAGTTCCTTTCAAGGTGTAAGAACACATTATATATATCCCTAATATGCAAATAGACTGAACAGCAGAACAACCGAAAAACCGATCACTATGACGTGCGCTGACCACCAGGGGTGTGCATGGAACATGGCGGGCGTCGGCTGCGGCGGGTTGGTGGGCCAGGTGAGCCCGGGCACCTGACCAAGGTGGGCCACCAGTCGCTGTCATTGGAGTGAGCCTCTGGTGGTTACTGAAAATTCTTTGCTCCCACACACCACGGTCCCACCCGGCACTTGCACCTGCTGCCGGCACCTGGTGCCAGTCCCTATCGCTCAGTGCCATCATCGGGTGTGAGAAGCGACTGCTGGCCCCAATTGCCCCTGAGGACTTCTCCACTTCCCCGTGCTCCTGAGGGGCAATCGGGGCAGCAGCCGCCACTTGCACCCGCTGACAGCACTGGTCCGGCTCGCACCCACTGCTGGCACCATCCCAATGGCTCTGCACTGTCAGCGTTGTGAGCTGCTCCCACGCTGTCAGTGCGTGGGAGCAGCAGCAGCAGGAGCAGGACTGATGGCAGACAGGGAACCGGGGGCCACAGCGGGAGGGGCCGGGCAGGGTGCAGAGGATGGACCGAGACCCACCCCTGTGCCCACCACAGCCTAAGCCCACAGTTCCTTTCAAGGTGCATGAATTCGTGCACTGGGTCCCTAGTATAATACATATAACACAAAAATATGTGTTAATCGACTGTTTATGTTATCAGCAGTAGGCTATTAGTTTGGGGGGAATCAAAAGTTGTACGTGGACTTTTAACTGCACAAGGGGTCAGTGCCCTTGACCCCTTGTTGTTCAAGGGTCAACTTTGATCTAGAACTGACCTCCTGTACTAACTTTGACTTTGGGGAAAGAGGAGGGGGGAGTTGTAATACATGCGGTTTTGCAGTTTGATTTTTCACCAAACATGAAGTGGACCCCTTTTCAGCTCAATAAATGCGCATGCTGTGGACTGCATCCTGCTAGGGGGTGTAGCCTGCTCTCCTCCCGATGGGGTGTGGCTGGGGAAACGGTCGGTCACCGATCGCACACAGAAGATGGTGCTGGGAGGAGCTCGGGGAAGTCAGTGCGGTTGCTGAGCAGTGTGGCCTGGGACAGGCGAGCTAAGGAGGATAGGGGAGGCCCTGCCCCAGGCTGGCAGTCCCGTGGGGAAGCCTGATGGGTTGTAACAGGTTGAACCGTGAGAGGAGCTTTAGTGGGGAAAGTGCACCCAACCTCAGGGGGTGGGGGGGTTCACGCCCAACTCTACTTGGCTCTGGTTGCTCTGGGGCTACTGTTGGAGTCTCCCAATAAAGGGACACGAAGTCGACCGCAGGGCGAGCTGGCATGGGAACCCTCAGCGTCTCCTCTGGACGGAGCTGGATTCGGGGCTGTCTTCTCCAGGTGGGAGCGGAAGCTGTCGGCGGTCCCCCTGCCCCAGGACCCCTTGTGTTGCTCCAGCTGTCAGTGGGCCCTGGGATTGGCTCAGACAGATCACTGTGGGCCCCGGAAAGGCCCAAATAAATAGCCATTTGTAGGACCGGGGGCAGAGGAGTGGTCTGACAAGGACTTAGCTGTTGTCCCCTGGTCAAAATTTAGTGAAATGAAGCCACATCAGAGTGGGAGGCTGGGGTGGCTGCCACTCAAAGTACCTCAAGGGAAGCAGAATTTAGGAAGAAGAAACAAAAAGGGACCTTCGTTGTTTCCAGAAAATTACTTTCTACCGGAGAGCCTGTGACCCTTAAATGGCCCCGAAAGGCCCAGCGTGGCCCAGGCTCCCGGGACATGCCTGACCTGGCCCCTGCCCCCTGTCTAGCCCCGTCTCCCACCTCCTCCTCCTCACACCTCCATCACCCCAAGCTCATTCCCACCCAGGGGCCTTTCCACTCGCTCGTCTTACTCCCTGCAATGCTCTCCCAGGTGGACAGACTTCACGCTGTGACTCCTTCTCTCCGTTCAGCCTCCCTAAAACATCACCCTCTCCGTCCACACTTCCCCAGCCCCAGCCCCTCCCTCCCACCTCTCCCAGAATGACGCAGCGTTTTCTCGGCTCCTTATCTTTTGTCTCACCCCCACCCCCTGGAATGTAGGGTCCCTGAGCACAGAGCTACCATCTGTGTCATGCACACAGGGAGCAGTGCCGGGAACATAGTAGGGACTCAACAAATGTGGTTTAAATGAATGATAGAGGTCAGAGAGGACAGACTCTTCTGAGAAAGTAAAGGTGGGAAGAGGGCCAAGTTGAACTGGTAGATGCCAGCTTCCTTGCGAGGGGATGGCCTCTGGCATCGACACCCATTCCTTATTTTTGCATCCACACGTTTGTTTGCTCACTGAGCCAGGACGGTGGCATGCACTTCCTGCCGGGCCCACGGCTGCATGCTGGGGCACTCCCACAGTCACATGGAGTCCAGTTCTCTCTGCAGGAAAAGTCCCATTTGCTGAGTATCGACTAAATGCTTTCACTGATGTCCCCTCATCCGTGTTTTCTCTCATCCACCCTGTGATTCTCCACAAACACAGAGACCAAGGCTCAGTGCCTGCCAAGGGGCTGGTGCCCAGGCCAGGGCTGACCCGGGATGAGGGTGCGGGGGGCAGGGACAGGGGGGCTGAGCTTCCACTCCCCCACACTCCCCTGGGCGATGTCCTGTCGGTGCTTATCTGTGAAGTTCAGACGAAGTTCAGGGTACCGAGTAAATAAAGCGCAGAGAGTTTGGGAGCCACCCGTGGGAGGCCAAGAACTGACCCAGGGCGGTTCCCCCTCCCTTCACCCCCGGGAGCCCCGGGCACCAGCAGGAAGCCGGCTTCCCTTGCACCAGGCGGTGCTGGCTGCACTCTTGCCGACCCTCCCATTAGAAACGGAAATGCCTCCTCACTCAGAACAAAGCTTGGCATGTTTCTTACTCTGCAACAATCTGACAAAATAGGTATTTATTTGTGTCTCTCAAACGTGTGGCCTGGACACGGTGTTCCGCGTTGTGGAAGTGGCTGTGCACCAAGTGAAATACTCGTTACTATAGTAACAGTTCCTTTTTATTGATACCAGAATAAACAGGAATGCAAAGCTGCCTCACTCGCTGGCACATTTCAGCCGCCTGGCCTGTGATCCCGGGGGTTTAAGAACCGCCCTGTGGAGGAGGCGGCCCTGCAGCTAGTCTGGGACTTCTAGGTGGAGCGAGGAGGCCAGCAACACCGTCCGAGTTCCCGCAGGACGTGGGCAGAGAAGTAAGACCATTTCTCTTCTGTTTCACCTGCTGGGAACTGGGTGCTGGGCTGGGAGGAGGTACGGGGTCAAGAGAGCAGCCCCAGAGCACTGGGGTGGGCTGCGGGGAGTGGAGCTATTTAAGCTCAGGGACCCAGGCTCTGCCCCATCTGTGAAATGATGGGGAGGTGCCTCTGGGCTTGGGGAAAAGATAGGAGACAGAGTGGAGGGAGCACGCGGATACAGCCCTCCGTTCTCGCTGATCTGTCTTCCTCAGATGGATCTGAGTTTATACAGGGTCTGACTCGCCCACATCCATTAGCAGCAGCGTGGCGGTTTCTCTGCATCGCTGATGGACAGGAGGCCGCAGGGTGGCACCTGAGAGAACACAGGTCTGGCATCCGACAGCTCGGCTCAGATTCTGGCGCCTTCACTTGCTGGCTGTGTGATCTGGGGAAATCACAAGGCCCCTCAGAGCCTCAGTTCGTTCGTCTGTAAAAAGGGATGACGATAGTACCTACCTCCTCAGTCTGTTGTAGGAGCTTCATGAAGTGCGGCTGTGGGGTGCCGAGCACGGTATGTGGCTCACTGCAACGTTGACGTGCCACCCTCCTGCCTCTCAGGTGCACTTGGCTTTTGCGTTTGGCGGTTCGAGGCCAGAAGTCTGGGATTGGCCAGAAGCCAGGCGTTGTGGGATTGGCTGTGTCACTTTTCGGCCGTGAGGCAGAAAACCTGTGTCTCCCGGTGGCTTGGACCCCGAATGCCACTTAGCTCTGCTGGTGGGAAGTACCAGCCAGGACCTTTCCCCTGAGGTCTCTGCCAGGTGGAGGGGTGGCACCGTGCCCCTGGTGGGCCAGCAGGAACCCTGGCCTGCTCTGTTCCTTGGTCAGCCGCACAGCCTCTCCCCCGGCCTTGCTAAGGGCCTTGCAGGCCAGCCCTGGGCCTGGGAGGGCCGAGGGGCCCTGAGCAGAGTGTTCAGGAAGTTCGTCTTTGAGTCCTTTTCTCATGGGGTGGGGAGGCTGCAGCCAGGTCGGGGCTGCAGGGAGATCTGGAGGTGGCTCCCAGATACACAGTTCTGTGGTTACCGGCCAGTGCGATACCAACGGGCACTTTCCCCACAGGGAGGGGGAAAGCGAGGCGCGTTAGGAAACCCGGGGCCACGCCGGGCACTTTTACTGAAGGCCTCTCTCTCCTCTGCCCGCGGTTCTCCTCTCTCTCCTCTGCCCCTCCACCTCGTGAAATGGTGAAGCACGAAGGTCTGAAGGTCCGGTGGGCGTATGCTGAGCCCAGCTGCTTGAATAGCAACAAGGAGCCAGGGCGAGGGAGGGAAGGCAGAGGAGTGCAGACTGACCCACACCCAGGGAGGGAAGGCCCCAGCTGGTCCCCTCCCAGACAAAGGCCGGCCGTGGGTAGACAGCCTGTGGAGTCTGTCTGCCCAGCCCAGAGTTGGTATTCTGTATGGCTTGGATGTCCTCCAGGTACCAGGCCTCCATTTTCTCATCTATAAAATGGACTCACACTGCCTCTTCTTTGGGGTTTCTTGAGTATCGAGAGAGAAGAGAGATATAAACCTCCTTTGTGGACTGAAAGGTAGTGCGCCTGGAGGAGTGGAGTGATTAGAAAGAGCACTCGAGTTGGAGTCTGCAGGTCCCAGTCTTGCCATTTAGTCTGTGTATGTTGGGACAAGTAGCTTGAGCTCTCTGAGCCTCGGTTTTCTCATCTACAGAATGGGAACGATAAAACAGTAGCACTGGCTGCCCCCTGGGGCGGTTGTGAGGTCCAGATGGAAGGGAGTGAGCTTTCTTCAAATGCTGATGCTCTCCACAGGGGTCAGGGAGCCACAGTGTGCCTTGCGAGCACCACTGTGCCAGGCATTGGGCCAACCACATCACCCACATTGTACCAGTTTACTCTCCACACAGCCCCGTGAGTAGGTATTGCTGTTATCCCCACTGTACAGGGGCTCAGAGAGGTTAAGCTATTCGCCTAAAGTCACACAGCTAGGAAGGGATGTGGCCACGATTCAAATCCAGTCTGTCCCCTCCAAAACATCTGCCTTTGCCATGTTGCTTTTCTGGTCCCGGTGCCATTTGTTACCATTGATGTCATCAAAGACGGAGCCAGAACCTCCAGCAGGGGAAGGCAGGTATAAGAAAGGGACGGTAAAGCCTAGACGGCCAAGGTCCTGCAGCTGTTTTCAGGATGAACTGCATGCGACCTGGGTCTCCATGGGTGCCACTTTCCTCCGTTGCTCCCCTGTGGGGGAGGCGAGGGAACTGCTGCCCCGCCTGCCCCACCTGCCCCAGCAGCCTGGTGAGCTCACTGCAGAGGTTAGTGATCCCAGCTGAGCCGTGTCTGGACTGGGGCTGGCATCCTGCAGAGCTGTGGGGGAAGAGCTGTGGGACCTCTCCGGTCATTGGCAGAACCAGGGAAGAACCAAGGCCAATCTCCCAACCTCTCCCCTGATCTATTATCACCCCACCCAAAATGTGAGGTTTGTCCCACAGTCTGCATATTAGGGGATTTGCCCATCTTGTACGCATGCGAAACACTGCGTGTAGCTGTCGCCTCCTGGCTGCCTCTACCCCCTGCCCCGCACATCAGCTCATCCAGTCTTCACAGCATCTCGATTTCACAGAGGAGGAGGGTTCCATCCAGGTCCCAGAGCTGCTAAGAGCTGTGGCTTCAACCAGGGGCGTCCACGACAGCGAGGCCAACAACTCGACTGAAGCCACTCAGGCCCCAGCGAAGCAGCTTGATTTGTAACCCTGGTTTACAAAGTTGCCTGGCAATTGGCATTACCTGGGGAACTACTTTAACATTCCAAAGCCAGGCTGCCTCCCGGGCTCATTCAGCCAGAATCCCTGGGTGGACTCAGGCATCGGTATTTTCCAAACATCCCCTGGTGATGCCCGTGTGCGGCCAGAGTTGAAATCCCTGGTGTCACCAGTGCAGTTTTTAAGGAAGATGAGAAAGCTCAATCCAAGACTAGGAACGGGATTGATGAGCGGCCACTGCTAACGGCTATCAGGTGGCCACACTGTGCAGTTCCGGGGGCGTGAAGCCGTGCCCTGCCTCGCTGTGTGTGGCTGCCCTGTAGCCAGCACGTAAGCACCTTGCAAGTATCACCTCATTCACTTTGCAACAACCTCATGAAGACGACTGATCAAGAGCCGCTTCCGTAGCTACTCAACTCTGCTGTTCCCCTGGAAAGCAGCCATAGGCAGTAAGTGATGAGAGGGCAGCCAGACCCAACCCAGGTTCTACTGGCTCCAACGTCCGTACACCTAAGCTTCATTCTGTCTTCCTTTACAACCAGCGAAGGGTATTCACTAGCCCCTTAACTCTCTCCTAGACTGCCTCTTCCTCCCCTCCAGCTCTCCCCTGGGACACCCACCTTCCCTCTTTTCAGAGATGAGCTGATGCTCAGCTCAGCTCACCTCACCTCTTGGTCACTTCCCAGAGTCTCGGACCTCTCAGGACACCCAGCAGCCTGAGAGACTGGCCAGAGCAGCCCTCGGAATGGCCCCACCGCTGCCCAGGAGGCCCGCTGGCCCCCGGGGGGCCCAGGTGTTTTGAGTCACCAGCACATCATTGAGCGGCCCCTTTGTTCCAGCATCTTTGTAATCTTTTCCACGCGGAGGCCCAGCAGCCCTCTAAGCCCTGCCTCTGCCCCACACGTGTTGTCTGCGGGAATTCAGCGCCCTAACTGGGGAAGGCAGCGATTTCGCAGCCTGCAGCTCTGGGCTGGAGCACCAGCCTCATCCTTCAGGATCCCTGTCCCAGCCACCACACCACCCAGGCCCCTGAGAAACACCAACCCTGCAGCTCACCGCGATTTCATTAAAAAAAGAAAAAAGTCTGGAGCAGATCTTTGAGCCAGAGCTGCTCACTGATTGGACCTGGGGTGCAGGACTAGCTGCCTAGTTTGCAGGGCTCAGTGCGGAATGAAAACACAGGGAACCCTCTTCTCCACAGACGCTGAGGGCTGGGCCCCACCTGCTCCGGGGGGGCCCCTATGGGTGAAGGCTCTCAGCCTGGCCAATCAGACGTTTTCCTCTGGAATTTAATGGGAGAGACAGACCGCCCACGGGCAGTGAAAGAAAATGAAGTCGGATAAAAATATTCTTCAAACCTGCTGAGTTTTCCCACACACAGCAGCGAGAATGGCCTTTCTTAAAGCCAATCAGATGCGATCTTTCCCAGACTTGAACCCACCCGTCCACCCGCCACTCTCCCCATCGCTCGCTCACGCCACCCCGGGGACACTGTGCCTTTTTGTTCCCTGAACAGACCTAGCTTGTTCTAGGTACGTGAGTCACACGTGCTGTTCCCTCTGCCCCTCGCAGCCCCCGTCAGGTCTTAAATGTCACCTGCTCAGAGAGGCCCGGCCCCTGCACCTGGCTGAAGGTGGGTGCAGCCGTTGGTCGCAGCCCCTCTGGCTCCACCAGCAGGCTCCTGGCGAGTCCGAATCGTTTCTTGTTATTGGCCGTGTACTCGTTTACTGTCTGCCTCCCTAGTAGATGTCCGCCTGTGAGAGCAGGAACCCCGCTTGCTTAGTTCACCTCGGTGTGTCCCGTGTCTACCACAGAACCTGGAAAATTATAGGAACCCAAACAGATTGCAGAATGGATGTTTATTCTTGTGCACTTTCTCAGTGGTCGTTCCTGTTATGTGGGAGCTCTTGCTTTTGTGTAGTTACTTTGTGTCTGACCACATTATTGAACTCTCTCATTAGCCCCAAATGCTTTTCTGTTCATACATTTGAGAATTCTGGGTAGATAGTGATAGCTTATGTAAATAGTAATTCTGCTTTCTCCTAAAGTTATGCAACTATTTCTGTGTCCTGCCTTATTGCTGTGGCTACATACCATTCGTTGTTTTGAAGATGGTGTGACTGATTGAAATTCTGAAGCACTGGAAGGTTTGAGGCTCAAAGGGGCTAAGGGAGCTGCAGAGTGAAGTGTGGTGATAGCGGCCTGCTTGGGATATATAGCTGAGAATTACTCAGATAAGCAATTGATGGGACTTGGTAACGGAAATAGGCATCATGGGGGAGGGGGGTGACTTCCAAAACTCCAATCTGAATCAGGGTATTCTAGGGCATTGACTCCCAGACAACTTAATCCCATTGGCTAAGGAAATATTCACATTTCTAAACAGGGGGGAGGCGGGGGACCAGGATTGCTATAGCCAACTGTTTATTTTGCCAAGTGTAATAATAATTTTAAAAAACTGTAACAAAAAAGAGAAGAAAGGAAGTTAATTAGAATTCTTGTTTTAGAAACAATTCTGAGAATGTGAATTCAAGAAAAAAAATTAGTAAGTGTGTCTCTATCTATGCTCTGACACTTAATCTGACTTCATCCAATAATAATTAACACTTTGCCCAGCTTACACAGCACTTTCACCAATGTGGTCTCTCCTCATCCTCCCAGAAGCACCCTGCAGTGGGCAGTGATAGCAATGCCACACACGGTTCTGGTGTGACACCATTTGCAAAGCATCATCCTCCCTTTGGTGCCTCATTCCCTGGCATGGCACCTGGCAATTCACAGCCCATCAACCCCCTGCTGTGTCCAACCCCGCTGGGCGCTGACCCACTCCCAGGTTTCTGCACAGACCGCCAGCCCTGTCTGGATTTCTTGGAGAACTGTTCATCCATACAACCCGTCAGGCAGAGAACGGCTTTCTTCCTGCTCCAGTCAGTGGGGAATGGGAGTGTCTGTCCGAGGCCAACATGGTGGCCCTCAAGAGAGGGGACGGACCCTGGTGTGTGCAGTGGGGACACACCCCCTCAGTGGCCGCATGGAAACCCCATGCCTTAAGGCGCTGGCTCCCCAAGACCAACCTCTGTGAGCCTTGGTTTCCTCAAAGTTTCTATCTTCAATTTCCAACAAATATTAATTGTCGACTGTGTACCAGGCCAGACGCTGCTAGTGCCTGGCATGTAGCAGAGGCTCAACCTCAGAAAAGCCGGACTCATGAAGGGAGCAGAGCCAGTGCCCACATTTTCACTCTAATTACTCTTAGCATCTAATGGGCCAGGCTGTGTCACCCTCCTGATACTTTTCCTTAAGAAATCTCTCTCTCTCTCTCTCTCTCTCTCTCTCTCTCTCTCTCTCCACTTGTTTTTGAGCACTTTAAGGACACCCTCCCTCCGTAATCGGAGGCACAGCAGCCTCTGGATTCCACACTCTGTCTCTTTTCTGGAGAAAGAGGAAAGCCGGTCACTTCCACTGATGCGTTCGGAATGATGGACAGGGAGTTTGGACAATAAGGGGTGATATTTCCCATTCATTACAGCATTCATCCCATTGTCTTTAACAAGTACATGTTGCTCTTTTTACATAATTTTTTTCTTTTCTGGACTTATTGAAAAACAGAAACTCAAGTGTAATCCCTCTCATAGGAGGGAAAGTGTTTTTTTTTCAAAGTCAGGCTAAAACCATTTGCACATCGACCCATATTTTGTGGCCCAGTAGCTCTTGACCTCTAGACCCCACTTTACAAACAGCCTCTCCAGCCCTTACAGCAACCCTGTGCACAGGCTCCACTATTTGCAGCTCACAGCTGAGGAAACTGAGGCCCAGAAAGCCAGCTAGCCTGCCCAGAGCCACACAGTAGCAGGTGGCCAAGGCGACCGAGACCCTTGCCTTCGCTGTGCCCACGGGGGTGGGTGAGTGTGTGACCTGCTCTGACCAGCTCTCCCCTCCCCATCTCTACAGCCTCCATGTACTCAGAGATCCAGAGGGAACGGGCAGACATCGGTGGCCTGATGGCCCGGCCCGAGTACAGAGAGTGGAACCCAGAGCTCATCAAGCCCAAGAAGCTGCTGATCCCCGTGAAGGCCTCGCGGAGCCATCAGGAGCTGCACCGAGAGCTGCTCATGAACCACAGGAGGTGGGGACGGAGCCTGGCTGCCTCAGCCTGGCTAGCACCTGCTCAGGCTGCTGGGGCCTGAGGGGCTGCCCCTCGTGGAAGGCAGGCCTGGGGGTAATCCTGGGGCTCCTGGGAGCTTGAGGAGGGCTGAGGGTACCCCCATGGTGACCAACAGAGACTGCGAAGGTCCAAAAGCCCTGTCCTCCCATCCAGCTACCCGCTGTGTGCCTGACCTCCACATACTTGTCCTGAGTACCTGCGATGGGCCAGGCACTAAGCCAGACCCTGGGGGCTCACGAAGGAATGTTCCTGCCCTTACAGAGGGGATGGATGCATAGCCAGGTGGTAGGATGGGTGGTTCCATGGGGTATGTTTCCAGCAGATGGGTGAGCCTGGAAACTGGACAGAAAACACCATCCGTTCAGTGTGGTTGGAGCATAAAGTGTGAGGGAGGCCAGAGGAACCATGCAGTCCTGGGAAGGGGCTCAAGCAGGGGTGTCCGAACCCTGGAGGGGCCATGAATGGAGCAGGGGCTGGGGGTGCAGTGAGAGAGGCAGGCCTGGGGCAGGGCTAGAACTCGCAACTGAAGGAATGGGGAGAGGGGAGGGAAGCTGGGCCTCTGTCCCCGCCCAGGCCTGGAAAGCAGTCCAGGCTCACCAGGGCCGGAATGGAGGCGTCGGCGCCTCTGCAGCTCCCTCTCCTGGCCACTTCTAGCATTGGCGCGGGCTGGGATTCTCACCCTTGTTTGCAGCTGTGTGCGAGGGACCTTCCCGCGGATGAGTTTGTATCGGTGGTGGTTTGTATTGGTGGTGGTTTTCCTCGTAGTGTATCAGAAGTATTTCTCTGGTTGCCTTTTAGAGTCATCCCTGTTAATGCCAAAAACCACTACCAGGGTTTTTTTTAAAAAAAAAAAAAAAAACTAAAGACAAATCAAGAGAGATATTTGCAATATAAGTCACAGGCAAAAATTAATATATACAGACCTCTCATAAACCCGCGAGGAAAAAATTAGCAAAAAGGCAGGTACAGTTAGTTCACAAAGGAGGAAATGCAGATAGTTGGTAAACAAGTCAAAGGCTGTTGGATATGCTAATAATCAAAGAAACAAATGAAAACCGGGTGTTATTTCTCGCCTACCAGGTTCACAAATGCAAAAGGGTTGGGTGGTGATGGTGGGGAGAAGTAGATGCCCTGTGGACAGAGTATAAATTGGAGAATCTTTCCTAAGGGGCAGATGGAAATGCGTCCAAAATCTCTTAAAGGCACTGACCCAGCAGCTCCACCCTTAGGAACGTATCCCCAGAAACTACCCCGAAGTAACATAAACCTGGTCTCAGCAGTCAGACAGGCCCGGGTGCACATCCTCACTCCCCTCGTATCTGTGACTTGGACCCGCATCCGAACTCCCGGGAGCCTCACTCCCCTTCTCTGCATAAGGGACAGTGTGTATCCCACACGCCACACCCGGGGTTGCCGGGTTGCCGGGAGGACTGCAGGGGATAATGGTAGTGAGAGGCGGGGGTGGGGAGTTGGGGTCTCTGACGGCTCCCCGCCACCTCCCACCCCAGGGGCCTGGGTGTGGACAGCAAGCCCGAGCTGCAGCGCGTCCTGGAGCACCGCAGGCGGAACCAGATCATCAAGAAGAAGAAGGAGGAGCTGGAGGCCAAGCGGCTGCAGTGTCCCTTCGAGCAGGAGCTGCTGAGGCGGCAGCAGAGGCTGAACCAGGTGAGCGAGGCCACCAGCCCCGCCGCCCGGCCCCTCGCCCCCTAGGAATGCCCGCTGGCCAAGGGAGGGCTCTGCGTGTGGCCACAGCCGGCCAGTTGAGCAAAACGAGGGCTGGACCTTGAGTCCCCCACTGGCCTGAGTCCTCACTCTGCCACTCGCTTCGCTGGGTGACTCTGGGCCCGTGGCGTCCCCTCCCTGAGCCTCAGTTTCCTCATCGGCCCCATCTATTGCGTGTTGATTCTGATTTCGTCATCACAACTGCCCTTGAGCCAGGCAGCTCCCATTTGAGAGACGAGGCCCAATGAGATAAGCAATGTGAACAAAGCTTCACAGGAGGAACTTGGTCCCATGGTCTGTCCCCCCAGCTACCAGGCTGGTGGCAAAACTGGCCCCTGGTTCCGTTTCCCCAGAGAGGACCCTTGGTCCAA